CAATAGACGATCAGCGCGTCTCCCTCCAGCTGGCGGGTGCGTCGCAGCCAATCAGCTGTCGGCTGCTCCAGCCCCTCCCATCAGCTGGCACGGGAGGATGTAACATCTTCGGCCAAACCGGTCCAAACTGGTAGGAACCCACCTCTGTCCATGACTTAAAACTAATGGAGCCACACATGTGACCAATCCAATGTTGTAAACAATTGAAAAGGCAAAAGGAGCCAGTATCCACTGAGAGATTGCAAAAAGGTAAAAGTTTCCCTCGTACATATGTGCTAGTCGTTCCCGATTCTAGGGGGCAGTGCTCATCTCTGTTTCAAAGCTGAAGAGCCAGCACTATCTGAAGACGTCGCCGTGGTCATGTGGCCATCATGACTAAACTCTGAAGGCGCACAGAACGCTGTTACCTTCCCACCAAAGGTGTTCCCTGTTTTTCTACTTGTATTTTTACATGCTTTTGAACTGCTAGGTTGGCAGAAGCTGGGACAAGTAACGGGAGCTCACTCCGTTACGCGGCGCTAGAGATTTGAACCGCCAAACTGCTGACCTTTCTGATTGACAAGCTCAGCGTCTTAGCCCCTGAGCCCTCATAAAGAGAAATTCCCCACAAGATACTTGGAAAAAGGAAGATATTCTACAGAGTCCTCTGAAATAAGAGGCCACCCCAGGGATCATGGGGAGATGCGCGGACAGCCAGGCTTTGCCAACTCACCCATCTGTATCCTGGAAGTTCACGTTCACCCGTTTGGTTGATCCGAGGAGCTCTGCGGAGGGAGAGAGAAGAGAGATGGTTAGAGGAGGGGGAGCCTTTTCCCTGGGAATCTCTCCAGGCACTCCCGGAAATGCATCAGCTGCCCAAAATACCCACTTTGGGAATAATCGGTCTGCTTTTCCATCATGGCACCTCCATTATGAAGCCGGCTTCCTTTTGAAATGAAGCCAGCCGCCTCCCTGACAGTCCTTGAGAAGCTTTTAAGGAAGAAGCTTTCTCGGAGGGACTTTGGAGAACGCCTTCCAGGAGGTGGAGGTCTATTTTTATTATCCAGTGGTTGTTATTATGAAGCATTGTTTGGTTCTGGTGTATTATTCTCTGGATATTTTTATGCTGTGCTGTACGTCAGTGTGCATTGTGAGGATTCAGCGACCTCACCAATTTGGTAACTCAACAAATGGATGCATTCTGAGCCACGGGTTCTCTCGGTTTTGCTTAGAGGATCCAGCAAAATGGACATTTGGATTGGTCTAACCAATCCATCAAATTCCTTGCTGCTCACATGTGGCTATGGGAGCCTGGTGAGGACAGGGCCCTGCACGTCTGGCCCTTTTGCAAAAGGGACCCTCAGCAAAGGCATAGGAAGCAGGCACAGGAGAGAATACGTGCACCCACTCTCCCACCCATCTATACACACATTAAGAATTTGCAGTTTGTATAAAGAAAATCTGTATAAAATGTCTTATAGATGGCATTTCACACCGGCAAGAATGGCCAAAATGTATAAAGTTAGATCTGCTAAATGCTGGAAGTATAATTAACTATTGTGGAACGACCTCCCCGTCGAGATTCGCACCCTCACCACCGTCCAGACCTTCCACATAGCCCTTAAGA